TGCATGATAGGTTCCCGTGCCGCTGACAGCCAACAGACTCTGTCAGACAATCCTTCCGATCAAGTGACATCTGAAGAAACCGAAGAGAATCTTCAGAAGTCTAATTCAGACTCGGCCAAACAACCAGCGTCTCAGGATCTGTCGAGTTCACAGATCGCCGACTTGCAAAGCCCACACCAATCAGCTCGATTCCGGTCATTGCCCAGAGATGAACAAGTAGCGTTGCTTAGAGCTCATAAGAATCTTGGACATCCCAGTGGAGAACGTTTGAGCACGTTACTGAGATCTCAAGGATTTCGAGCTGAGGTAGCCCAAGCCGCTTTGGACCTCAAGTGTTCCACATGTCAGGAGAACCAACAACCAAAATTAGCACGTCCTGGAAGCATTCGTGATGAGTTGGACTTCAATGACCGCATATGTATGGATGAATTTGACTGGACCAACAAGGATGGTACCCAATTCAGAGTGTTCCACATTGTTGATTGGGCCACGAATTTCCAGTGTGCGCGGATAGTGCCTGACAGGTCCTCAGCTGCCATCATCCAACTGATGATTGACATGTGGTTTGCCTGGGCTGGTTCTCCTAGCGAAGTGATTGTTGATGCAGGGAGTGAGTTCAACTCTGAAGAGTTTGCAGTGTTTGCACAGGCTAATAACATCAAACTCACGACAATCAGCCCGGAAGCACAGTATCAGAATGGCAAAGCCGAACGCCATGGCTCGGTTCTAAAGACCATGCTGACCAAGTTCGAAAGTGATCACAACATCAATCAATACATGGATCTAGCCCAAGCCTTGTATTGGTGTGTGGGAGCTAAGAATGCCAGTAGTCTTAAGAAAGGGTTTCCCCCAGAGATGTTAGTCCTTGGAAAGCAAACTCGTATGCCTGGCGCTGTGTGCAGTGACGAAATGTTACCTGCGCACTTCCTGGCTGATGCCGAAACTGCACAAGGAATTGCCTTCCGACGTCAGTTGGCGATGCGAGAGACGGCCCGTTTGGCGTTCTTCCAGGCGGACAATGATGCCAGCCTCCGCAGAGCAATGCTACGGCGTTCCCGTCCGGGCAATCGCCAATATGAACCAGGTGAGTGGGTCATGACATGGCGACAAGGCAAATGAGCCCATCCGGGCCACTGGCTAGGCCCCATGAAAGTGGTTGTCCACGAAAATGCACAAACGGTGTGGACTACACTAGCCTGCAAACTATACCGCTGTGCTCCAGAACATGTTAGGCCTGTAACTGCCCATGAAGCTCGAGAAATCCCAGTCCGATCCGATGAGCCATCGATTTCCACCATAGCCCAGCAACTTTCACAACTTCAATCCCAAGGAATCACCAGAGCCATTCCAGATACTATTCCCATTGAAAATCCAATTAACCCTAATCCTAACCGTACCACCAGAATTTCCACTGAATCAGAGGGCCAACCTGATGATGAACCAGAGGTGCCGTCACAGAAATCCCCAAACTCCAGTCAACCTGACGATTCCCATGAAGCTCATAATCCTGAAACCCCTAACGTACCATCAACCACTGAAGACAATAATCCTCTTAATGATCCGGCCATAACAACACCTATACCCGAGTCTAGTGATGATGACCTCATGTGTGACAATCTGTTGTGCATAGATGATGACCCTTGCCTGATCTCCGCCGATGATGATTTGGCATGGCGATGTGAGATCCCTGTCCTTGAAAAGGATATCGAAGCCTGGAAACAGGAGCCAGATGTGGCTGAAATGGCCTTCCTGGTATCAGCTGCCAAACGACAGCGATCAGAAGTCAAGCTAACCAACTTGACAGCAGCCGAGAAACTTGAATTTCAGAAAGCCAAGAGAAACGAAGTTGAGAACTGGATCAAAACGGGAACCATCTCCAAAATTCTTCGAAATCAGGTCCCTCATGACCAGATATTGCGATGTCGGTGGGTTTTAACATGGAAACCTATAGATGACCCAACACCGGAAGACAGGAAAATAGGCCGAACCTCCAAAGCCAAGGCCAGACTCGTGATTCTTGGTTACCTGGACCCAAAGTTAGAGGAATTACCCAGAGATTCACCAACTCCAGGAAGAAATTCAAAAATGCTGCTGCTGCAACTGATTGCTTCGAAAGGCTGGCAACTGAGATCCTTTGACATCCGTGCGGCTTTCCTCCAAGGCAAACCTCAGTCGAACAGAGTCCTGGCCATAGAACCTGTGAGTGAACTTGTGGAAGCTCTCCAATTGACCACCAACCAGGTCTGCAAACTAGAGAAGGGTGCCTACGGACTTATTGATGCTCCCTATCAGTGGTTCCAAGCCATCTCCGAGGAACTGATCAAACTTGGTTTTACACAAAGCCCATTTGATCCCTGTAAGTTTATGTTGTACCATCATGCTACAGGATCATTGGAAGGTGTACTAGGTTTGCACGTAGACGATGGCATTTGTGGGGGTAGTCAATACTTTTCTCAAAAGGTGGACCTTCTTGAAGCCAAGTACCCTTTTGGAAGTAAGAAATTGAAACAGTTCACCTTCACCGGAATCGAAATGGATCAACTTGCCAACGGAACCATTACCATGAGTCAATCAACGTATGTCAGAGCCATTGAACCAATCAAAATCTCCAATGACAGACGTCAACAAGTGGATGCTGTAGTGACTGAGACCGAGAGACAAGCCTTACGAGGATTGGTTGGCAGTCTTCAATATGCTGCAGTACACACCCGACCAGACATATCCAGCAGACTCAGCATGTTGCAATCTTCAATTAACTCTGCCACAGTAACCACATTAATTTCCGCCAATCAAGCCCTACATGAAGCCAAGAAACATCATGATACCACAATTCAAATACAACCAATTCCTGTGGAAGACTTTCGCTTTCTAGCATTCTCGGATGCCTCTTTTGCGTCAAAAAGTAATCCCAGCTCCCACACCGGAAGTATCATAATGGGAACCCATAGACTCATCAGTGATAATGTGTCTTGTCCTGTGTCTCCATTAGCCTGGGGTTGCAAAAAGATCCAAAGGGTCGTCACTAGTACGCTAGCGGCTGAAACTGTTTCCTTGAACAGTGTGCTGGACCACTTGTCATGGATGCGGCTGTGCTGGGCATGGATGCTGAATCCCACAGTTAACTGGAAACAACCCAATACCACCCTGAAAGGTTTACCCCAAACAGTTGCCACTGCCACCAAAAATGCCCAAAATTTATCACCAAGCGTTGCGGCCACTGACTGCAAATCACTTTACGATCTAATCACACGCACTGCCACCCCTAACTGTGCGGAATATAGGACCCAACTTAATGCCAGAGCTATCAAGGACCTTATTTCTGAAGGGGTTGAACTAAGATGGGTGCACAGTGCTGCGCAACTTGCAGACTGTCTTACAAAAGTAATGGAAACATCCTTCTTGCGAGAGACTCTGAAATTAGGTAGATATCGCCTCAATGATGAGTTGGAAATCCTTAAAAATCGAGCATCGTCCAGAAACCGCCTCCGATGGCTGAAAACAGCTGATGGCAATGGGTGCAACGATGAATGTTTTCTAAATGTTGGATTTTAGGGAGTGTGAATCTGCATCGTTGCACTTCAGCTTGACATGGTGTTCCCCCTGAAACTCCTATCCAGACCTGGGTTCCAATTAATGATGAAGGCATGTGCCATAGCGCATTGGCTCAGGGCAGCCCATACGGTGTGGGTGGGAGAGGATTGTTTTCGCTTGTTGCCATTGGTTTGGAACGAGGCTGTTCCTTGGAGCCGGGGGCTCATAGAATCCTGGTGGCCATTAGGCCAATTCAATCTTTGCCGCACTGGAGGCACCTGAGACTTTTGCAGGTGGTTGCCGAGAAAAGACTGCCGCTTTGAACCTGGAGGGTTTGAGAGTTTTGTCCTTGCTGCCAGTGTAGGTTCGGTGTTTTGACCAACCACAATATATATATATATATGTCTTCCAGTTTAATTTCCCACTTTTCTTTCTGCTTGGCAACCCGAGTAACTTTACTGTGGGATCCGTTGGTATGATGGGTTTCTTGGCTGAGTTTTCAGCCAGAAAGGGAGCAAAAAATGCATGTCAATGCATTTCAAGCATTCCGTATTTCATTTGGACCATCATGTTTGCATGGTTTTCTCGTTTTCCAGGTTATTCCAGTTATTCCATGCCACCTAGGTTAACACACAAAAACGTTAATTTTGCTCCAGTAAATCAGTCACTCAATGCCTGGTTAACTCGGCTTCATGTCCAGGTTTGGCCTGCTGGTTTACATGAGGGATATCCCTCAATGCTTTGTCCAACAATGAGGAATATCCCAAATTGCAAATTTACTGAGGAAAATGATGACTGGTTTGTGGTTTGGAACATGTTTTATTTTTCCATATATTGGGAATAATCATCCCAACTGACTTTCATATTTTTCAGAGGGGTTCAAACCACCAACCAGTAATCCATTACTTGAGACCGTACCGCAGGTTCATGTTCGGGGACCAACCTGGAATAGCATGCAGTTCCATGATAGATTTGGGGAGTGTAGGTTTTAGATGGTTTTAGGGTGTCAGATTTTCAGACAAACCCTGATCTGGGGCTGATATGGGCTGATGACCAACTACCAGCTATTCTGATGTGAACCGAAGGATGGGTTTTTCAGCCGAATAGCACATTTCTTCCGGCCCTTCTTCGGGTGTCATGTATGCCAGGGTAAAGCTTGTTGAAAGTACTGGTAGGGTATTGGCTTTCAATCTAGCATGTTTTGCCATTCGGAGCAGAATCGTCGAATTATTCATATTAAATTCATGATCATTCAGGGAACCATACTATCTTCGATTCATGATCTCTTCATGTACTGGTTGCTGGTTTGGAACCATGGAATTTTATGATTTTCCCATCATATCGGGTATCATCATCCCAACTAACTTCATCATTTTTCAGAGGGGTAGGTCAACCACCCAACCAGATCCAACCAGTGGTTTCCGGCATGTCTCGTTTTCCAACATCGGACGATGCCCCTTGGGCTCGGGCTCAAGTCCTGAGACTGGTGCAGTAGGCAGATTCGACCGCAAAGAGGCGGTGCCAGGCAAGGGATCATGGGAACTCTTCCATGGGTTGAAGGTCGCCATGGAGCAGCATTTGGGACATTTGGGTCTGGGTATCCCCACTTTTCTGGCTGATGAAACCAGCTTGGACACTTTGCAAGCCCAGATTTGGACCAATTTTTGCATGATAGAAATCATGTGTCTCCAATGATTTTGTCTTAAACAGTGGTCCTTAGATGGTGCTGTTTGGGGTTGAAGATCAAGCCAAATGGCAAATTTCTGAGAATTGCTGTGGAGAAAGTATGTACGGCATGTAGCTTTGAAAGCGTTTCACATTTTGCAATTTTCATGGATTACAGGACATTGCAGGAACTGGTTGGTGAACATGTTTTATTTTTCCATATATTGGGAATGTCATCATCCCAACTGACGAACTCCATCATTTTTCAGAGCGGTAGGTCAACCACCAACCAGATATTTATATATGGAATAACTATCAATAATCATCCCAGCAACCCCCAGTCCCATCCATTCCCTGCTAAGCACCAGTGGGTTGCAGGAATTTATAGATGGTATAGATGTATAGTACTATCCAATGGTACCTTTGTAACAGTATTACCCATATTAACCATAGTATTAACCATAGTATTAACCATAGTATTAACCATAGTATTGACCATAGTATTAACCATAGTATTAACCATTGGTATGTCCATAGATGTCCTTGTTGTTTTCCGAGTTCTTCTTGGAGGAAAGGTCATCATGGTTCGCTCGCCCAGATCCAACCCATGATGAAGGCACGATAGTTACACAATGTCCCACGATCTAAAATGATCAGGTGGCTACGGCTCAAAATTATGTACACCAAAAATTGGATAATTGGATGGCAAAAAACCTTTAAACGAGATTGTCAAAAAAAACATATATACTGTGTATATATATATATATACGTGTATATATATATATTGGAATGACCGGTGGCCTCTTTATATAGTGGTTTCTGTCAGGCTCTAAAATCATTAAAATCCATCTTGGAACCTATATTGCAAATCTTGGAAACTATATTGGGAATTTGTACTGTAAGAATGTCTGTGATGTAATAAGACAAGCGGGGACTCAATATATCGCTGCTGCCAGCTACCTCGCATCACACCCGCAAATAATAAGAACATGCCCGTGACATGAGGCCACCTGCGACGCCAAATGGCAAGAGAACATGTTGAAAGGGAAGTTAGCCAGGGCCACATGCCATATATGGTTCTATTCGCACGTCCTCGCGCCACTGACACTGAGTGCTTCGGAAATGTGCGACGATGGTTTTTGCTTTCAGTTTCAAACCTGCCAAGCTCTGAAAATAAAGTCATGACCACATGGCAGCATTGTCCGTAGGTCAACATGACGAAACACAATCAATATGATATAGTCGCAAAACCCGTAAAACAATAAGATTTAGGTATATACCTGTGAAGCAGGAACAATCCGGAATCGTTCAGAATCGTTCTCGACCGGTCCTGGCACACTGGAACAAGGGCCAAAACAGCATTATATACATGTATAGTTGGGGCATCCCGTGTGCTAGGAACGGTCAGGAACGGTCAGGAACGGTTCCGAACAGTTCCTGGCTCACGGGGTTTGTGCGTATTGCTGGCATGTTCTGACATTTTCTGGCTTTCCAGTACGAAGAGCCCTCCTGCCGAAAACATGACAGGAACACGGAACAAGCATGACTTGTAGGAAACAGAGAGTCAGGAAGACCTTCATACCAACAGGAACCCATGCCCCATGATCGCCGGAAAGCAAGTGCAAAGGCGGCAAACATTTGACATGCTGTGGCATGATCGTGTGCCCCCAGAGCGCGCCTCCGCTTGCATGCAACATGCAAGATGTCAGGGGGCCTCTTGTGCCTTTTGGGACCCATTTCAGAACATCTTGAACACCGCGAGTGGTGTGAATGGCCCACAGAGGGGTTGCGAAATACTTCAACATGTTTGGGCCTTCATTTGTTATTTTTGGGCGTGCTATGTTTATGGGATGCTCGGCTATGGGGCAAGGTAGCTGGCGGCAGCATATGTTGAGCCCCGGCTTGTCTTATTACATCACCGACACTGCTACGGGACAAATTTCCCAATATAGTTTCCAAAATTTTCTAATATAGTTTCCAAGATAGAAATATTTAGTTTCCAAGATGTTTGATATAGGTTCTAGGATGGGTTTTGGCCTACAGACAAAGAGGCCACCGGTCGTTCCAATATATATACGTATATATATATATATACAATCACCACCCCTTTAAGGCTACTTTTCAGGGGGGGGACCACACCAAAATGATCCAAAATGTAAGATACATTTTTTGGGACCCCCCCCTTGAATATAAAATTGGTCGCTGAACGTCCCACAGGTGTCGTTTTTGTGGGGAGGGTCTTCAAAATACCTTCAAAATGTAAGCTTGCATTTTCAAGGCCCCCCTCAAAAACACCTTGAAAAATGTAGCTTACATTTTGGGTACGTCCCCCCTTAAAACGGTGGTGATTATATATATATATATACATACCCTATAAAAATCAATGATTTCCAGGCCAATGACTGGGCCGGCCGGCCTTGTTGCGAAGCGGGCAGCGCTGGAACGCAGGGAAACCCAGTGGAAGTACTCCTTTTTTCCTAGGTGACGAAGCGTTTTTTGGGTAGATCTCGTTGGAATGGAAATGGTGTGTGTCTGTATATCCTGTAGTGTCAAACCCGGATTAATAAACCATGGTTTACTAATTAGGGGGGTACTCCTCCAATAGTCATAATTCATAATCCAATACTTATATAAAGGGTTTATGAATCCAGGGTTGACATCATATTACGGTACTATGCGGTACTGCACATTTAAATATCGGTGTGTCTGAAAATTAATACCACCAGAGCAGGGAATTCACACATGTTTCTGTGCATATCTGAAGATCCAGACACTTGCCAGTGATTTTTGGTAGCGGCAGTATGAACAGCAGGATTTTCAGAGGCTTTCCCTTGATCCATACGCGTGTTCGGATTATTCGGTCAAGCATGCGAAACATTTGCTGGAGGCTTCCAACTTTCTCGGGCAAGTATCGATGGTTCAGTAGTTAGGAGGAAGCGCTTCGGAGCTAGGGCTACCCTCTTGTAGTTTAACATAGCTATTGAAAATGACCATTTATAGCGGATTTTCCCATTAAAAATGGTGATTTACCATAGCTATTGTCAGTTTACCAGAGGGTATCCATATTCCATCATATTCTCTGTTGAATGGGGAGCCATGGAGTTACTAAGAGTCTCCCAAGCACGTGACCCATAGTGACCGTGAGTTGTGAGTGCCCGATGTTTGCTGCGCAAGTGCGCAAGTGGCTCAAGAATCTTCCCCTTGTTTTACCGCGGAGAGCGTATCACAGCTTGGATCTCAGCGCCGCATCACTCGGAAAGTGGCAGGGAGCAGTGGAGTTTTCCAGGTTGAAATCTTCAAGTTCATGGGGGTTTCCATAAATGGAGGTACCCCAATAGCTGGATGGTTTATAATGGAAAACCCTATTAAGATGGGTGATTTGGTGGCACCCCTTTTTTAGGAAACCTCCATAGATATATATATATATATTATATATATACACACATATTACATATGTTTATTATGTTTGATTATGTTCCCAATTAAAATGATGTTCCAGCAGCGAGCCGCGCCACAGGCAGTATGAGAGCTTTAAGCCTTGTCCTCCTCTTCAGCCTTACCAGCTGCAGCCTTGCAGAGGACATGTTTTTTTCACCATCCACAAATAGGGATTTCAATGGGACTTCATGGGAATTCATGATCTCCCATATTGATCAATGGTTTAAGCATGTACATGTATACTATATAATATAATATAATATAATATAATATAATATAATATAATATAATATATAACAAAATATAGTATAATATAATATAATATAATATTATAATATAAAACAAAATATAATATAATATAATATACTATAATATAATATAATATAGTATAATATAATATAATATAAGAAATATTATATATATACTAATATGCCATTGTCAAAAGAGTTGGCTGATCATATTGATCCATGGGAATGGTCCTGATGGTATCGCAGAATGGATGATACCAAAAGGGCTAGAGCAGTGAGTCATAGGGAACATGGTGATCACGGATTTGGGTTTGCAAGTAGCTCATTTTGAGTGTGTGTATATGTGTGTATATATGTTTAAACAATCATATGTGTAAATATATATATACATATATATATATATATATATCGAATCCTAGTTGCAGTTTTCTCTAAAACCTTGGATTCTGGAGAGCGAGCCTGCATCCCTACTTTGCTACAAAATCAAGATCTATCAGTTGGCAAATATTGGAAGAATTCCAAAATCATCCATTTTGGGCATGTTGCAGGTGAGTTGCTGATTTTGTAGTAGGGGCCCCAGGGTTGGACAAAAAGCGCTCAAGACCTTACATTTTGTTAAGTGGATTGATTTTGTAGAAAAAGGCTTGCTACCTCCTAAGATCTTTGATTTTGTAGTAACAACATGTTCCTGGGTGTCATATCTTCAGATCTTGATTCAGTGGTGAGAGGGCAGAACCTTGATCCTGTAAAGAACAGTTCAGAGGAGTTTTGCTTTGACATCTCAGAACCTGATTCTGTGGAGCAAATGTAGGTGGCCCACTTGTGAATAGGTACGACTTTGATTTTGTAGAGCGACTCATCTGAAGAGAACCTAGCGAGTTTGATTTTGCAGAGATATGAGAAAAAATGCAAACCAACATCAAAAGCAGACACTCGGGACATCTTGGGACTTTGGAGGGACTTGTAAAAACTTGTAAAACCAAAATTAAAAACACATGCTACAAAATCAAAAACGAATCTCTCCAGAATCGTTCTGGAAGTTTGAAATCACAAGTGATGATCATTGAGGCATTTGCAAGTTTTGAGTTCGATTTTGTAGCATACATTGAATCTGCCTAGTCAGAACTTTCTATTGAACAAGGTTCTTGATTTTGTAGTATGCAAGATCCTCTGGAGAGATCTGGAGAGCTGGGTGTTTTTGGTACCTGACCCTGGGGTCTCTACATTATCAGGGGGTCCCAGCAGCTCCCTGATTATATAATATAATTATCTGGTTGTTGGTGGTTTGGAACATTTTATATGTTTCCATTCGGTTGGGAATTTCATATATTTCATCATCCCAACTGACTTTCACTCACTCCATCACCTCCCAGAGGGGTAGGTTATAACCACCAACCAGATCATCGTTATCCATTAATTATCCAGAATTTTTATCCATTAAATCTACTTAAAGTACCATATATTATCATTAATATTATAGGTAAATATACTATACCATATATAATGGGAATATGATCCATCATATTCTCGTTGCCTTTTTAGGTCATCGTTGTCATCGTTGCCTATGGTCATATTCCCATCATATTCCCATCATTTTCCCATGGACCGATGGGATCTGGGGATGGATCTACGGTTTTAGGCGTTTGGGTTGTAAGGTGCTCTTAAGCGTAAGGCTCTAGAGTTTCAGGCTTTGGGGTTTTAGTGAAGATTTTATGATGATCTTCTCATTAAATATTAAGATCTTCATATGTTTCGGGAATGTCCCATTCCCATTGATTTTCCCATAGTTTCAGGAGTGTGAAGCAGCGAAGTCAGCAGAGGCTGCTGCGTTGATTCATGTCGCGGGTGCCATGGCAGACGGCTCATGGGTAGCAGCTTCAAAAGATTTCTTGGGATGTTATTTTCATTGGATTGCTTTACGGAAAATTTTACAGGAAACCACCATATTTCATGGTAAGAACTATGGTTTCCTGTAGATTTTCCCTTAAACCAATCCAGTGATATTTGGGTTAAATCACGTGATTTCCTGTGCTGCGTGCTCCTTGGCGTTTGTGTATTGTTTAATGGTTTCTTGGCTTTGGTGGATTTGGGTTCTTAGCTTTCTCCAACTGGAAAGACTTTCTGCGAACATGGAAGCACGAGAAAATGGGGGGATATGAGCAGTGGCTACTTGACCAACTAATCGCTGGGAGATCTCCGACAAACAATGGGATACACCCGAGAAGATTTAGTTTGGCTAATTCTATGTGCTCCAGGATGATTATACTACGGAAGACTGGAGTTTGGAGATTTGAGCTTGAGTTTGAAGGTTTGAATTTTGAGTTTGGAGTTTGCAGCTTGGAAATTGAAGTCTAATCATGTTGAATCGACAAACGCGACGGCGATCAAAACAAATGGGGGGATGCTTGCGAATATGACCTACCAATCAATATCCGACAATGGCAACATGAAGGTCAGCAAGGCAAAAACGGGGACTTGACAAAACACATGTGACCTACCCATCATGGACATGATCCTTTACAAGATGACGACTTGGGAAAGTTCCGGACGATCCATGAATCCAGTTGAGAGATGTTGAGAGTGTCTTTAGTATTGAGGATAGATTATGTTGATATGATTATTTAGAAGTTTAGACGAATTGAGAGAGAATTGAACGTATTATATGTATAATGCATTAACATAATGTATACCTTCCTATAGGTATGATATGTTTCAGATGTGTGCTCCGATTAGACACCATCCTTTCTGATGGCATTCTGAGGCACAAAGAAGAAAATGGAACCGATTGCACCACCGCCGCCTACCCAAGGAGGCGAATTTGGAAGTGATCGGTGGGTTTCCCACGAAGGAAATGAAAGAAAGCATGGGGTTGATTGGTTTACCAATCACTGGACTAGCAATGATCGAATTGTGAGGCCCAATTTACACAATTTAGAATCGAATTGTAGATAGATATGCAGCTAATGCAAGTTGTGTAGTATAATAAGGGTCCAGCATGGTCCAGTAGCCTTGGGATCATTCCAGCAACAAGGAGGATGTACGGACACGCCAAACCTCCAACATCCAGCATCTGGTTATTTAACATGGCCATGGTATAGATGGCCCATAGAAATAGATGGTTTACCGAACTTAATAGCATGGTGGATCTTTCCATGGCGAACTGTTAGTCATAACCAGATGGTATACATGCTTGGGATGATTGGTTGAGATGGCAAAAAATATGTGATGATGAATCACAGCACCAGCATGCACGAGCCAGATGTTTTTTTCTTGATCACGATCTGGACATCCTAAAACCCTTAAAAAGCACAGCATCGGACGATTCGGCCTGTCGAGACAGGCCCGGATTCGCCGGTGTATTTGCCCCTGGGCCTTGGTTGATGGGAATCTATGGGAATCCATGGGAATCCATGGGAATCTATGATCCATGTTTAATGATGTTTGATGGATCAGGAACAGAATTATGATGTCAAAAATGTTCAAACTCCTTGTTGGTTGATGGTTTGTTGTAGGCTTCATGAGATTATTTGATCATATTTGATCAATAGTCTCCTGCAGAGGCTGTTCCAACGTTCCAACTGCGTCAGTTTACAACCTCTCCGAAACACTAAATGGCCATCATTTTGGAGGGTTGACGCAATGGAGGGCGACGCAAAGTCGGTGTTAAGGTCATGCCAGATCCACCACAATTTGGTACGTGGAAAGACTGTGTGAGGAAAGTGTTTCTGCGTAAAATCCAGGTGGTTCTCACTCAATCTTGTTCTAGCTCACATTAATAATCATTACTCGTAAGGTTCCTGGTTGGTGGTTTGGAACATTTGTTATTTTTTTCCATATATTGGGAATTTCATCATCCCAACTGACGAACCAACCAGGTTCTATTGCATATCCTCCAAAAATGACCCAGCCAAAACATGGGCTGAACTGCTTAACAACCAAAGGGGATGAACCCGGCCTGTCCAAGGACTACTACACCTATGGTGTCGACAACTGCGGCTGCGACAACTGCAACAACCACGCATCTTGGCAGCTGCTTCAGGGCTGATGACTGAAAAGATGCCAAGTTTCAACATGTTTCAACAAATCATCACCTAGCAACGCCCGAGTCAATGGAACTGCCTGGCACTAACTCGACAAATTTAGAGAATTTTGCCTTGAATGCTAAGAAAGAAGTGCTTGCAACAGACTAAGTCTTCAAAACATACGTCCAAAATCCATGAAACTCCTTTGATTTTGAAGCATCTATGATTATGATGGATTATTTTATGGGTTTCCATAGTCATGGGAGTACCCCAAGCTCGCTCGATGGTTGATTTCATGGAAAATCCCAATCAATAGATGGATGATTTGGGGGTACCCCTTTTTTTGGAAACCTCCATTTAGACACCTAGAAACCATGAGTTTTCAGTCCGGGGCTCCATTTTGAAGCACGTCCTCTCCGTCTCGAATCTGTCTCCAAGGGCTCACTCGGGCGCATGCTGGGCATCGGGGTCATTGGCCCTACTTGTTACTTGGCACGGTGCGGTCACCATGAAATTCTCACCTATTGGAAGAGTTTCACAGCGAAGATTTGTTTATTTTCAACTCACTAGACCCACTAGACCCGACTCACTACAGAATGTGGTTAAACAAAAAGTGCTGTCACTATCCATCACTATCCCCCTTTTTTATCCTTTTTTCGCTCTTCAATTGGCTACAAAGATCTAGAAATGGGATGTTTACGCCGCTCAAACGGTTGGTGTATTCTATGCTGCCTACCAGGTCGCCGCGGTCGCCTGTCTCCTGCAGCGCTAGCGGAGCAAAAAAAAATCGGACCACTGCAGCTGCTGATGGACCCGGTCTAAGACCTATCCCAACATGGGGCAACAATCATTTTTGTGATCGCAAAAACGAGATCTGAAAATGAGGATGTGTTTTTTTTTAGCAACCAAGATATGATGATGCACATGTACCAACATATTTGGGAATGTAACGGGAAGATCATGAGACACACCATGAATGGGGCTGGGTCAATATCGGAGGGATGATCATGCATGAAAACGAAGGTGGCGGTTCACAGGGCATTCACTTTCTGGGTTGTTTGAAAACTGGGTAGCCCCAGTTTGCATTAATTATCATATAGCAACACCCAAAAGGATTGAAAAAATAGTTTGCCACAATTTTTAATTAGCTCTTACATTTCTATTTTTTCTAGGGTTCCCGGGTTCCCTTTTCAGTTTTCCCATTGACAACATGCCACTATTCCCATGGTTTTCTGGGTAGGAGCAACCTGTTTGTGGACTCAGGAGCGGCCCAGAAGCAACCACCCGCTCCGATCCATATCTACCTCTATGGGAAACACCAGGCGCGAGAAGTCGAGTTGGCGTATCCTGGAAGAATCTGGACAAACATGAGGGACTTCTGGTAATCAAAACGTGGCAAGCTATGGCAAGCTGGAAAATCCACTAGAAATGCTGCTTTCAGAAGGGATCTCTTTCAGGATGCGGCTTCATCGGTGAACTCAGTTGGCCAAAATCATTGGTCCAATAAGGGTCCAATATCCTTGAAGTTACCAAAGATAAATATAGAATACTATAGAATAATATATGATAATATGTATATATGTATTTGGGCCTTGGTTTTAAAACTCCAACCTAGGTTTACCATCAGACATTTTGACGATTTTCTCAGGCTTTTTTAAACACAATGTCCCGATGTACCGGGAAGCCGGGTACCAGGAATGTCCATTCAGATCTCATTTCAGCGATCCATAAGAAAGGTATAACTGGAGTATGTTTTGGTGATAGGGATTATTCTACTTCAGATTCATCCATGAATTTATCCATGAATTTACCTCTGGTAAATTCATAAATTGACACTTCGACCCTGAAAATCACCAGTTTTTTTGGGTGGAAACTCATCTTCCAATCCCGAAGTCATGGCAGAAGGGTCAAAGTGTCGAATTTGTCGGTCCGAAACCATCGAGATCCCGAGCCGAAACGACTACCCGAGGACCCCACATTTCAGCGGCTGAAGGTCGGAGCCCAGAGTGGTTGTGAAGTCCCTGCACGGGATGATGGGGCACTTTTTAAGGCATCAAGTCGTACATGTGTTTTTTAAGCGAGATATGAACACATGCAATATTAACGTACGACGTAATATGATTAATAACATATATATACCCTACATACACTATATATATATATAGACTTTTTAAATATGTATATAATGTATATAATATATAGTCACATACTGTATATGGACATGAATCCCTTGCTGGGATGGTCCCTGCTGTAGTATTCTATTCTAATCTTAAATGGTTAATGAGATCTTTCATGGAACATTATTTGTTTATTGAACAACACTACAAATAATGTTTAGTAATAATGTTTCATGGATGTTGTTTGATGTTGTTAATTTGTTGTTCAATAATTTGTGTTGCTTGATAATTTTGACGGAGAATGAAACCAAGTATATAACTTGGCTGAACGAATCATCAAACCATATCGTCATATATTATCCAGATATATCTAGATTTGATATGTGGGTTGCAGCTGGCCCCTCCGATTGGTCGCGAAATCATCCTTAGTTTGTCCTCCCCCCAGGGCCCGGGTGAGTGATCAGTCATTCTCAGCTTTTGTTGACCATAGCTGCTACTGCGATTCCATGAGAAAATCAATGAACATCATGAGTGTATAGTTAGTATAGTTACAGTAGCGATTTTTGTGACTTTCTCTGAAAATTGGGTATATCCCCAGATCATCTACCCTCTGGTTATTTAACATAGCCATGGAAAATGGCCCATTTATAGATGGTTTACCTATTAAAAATGGTGATTTTCCATGGCTATGTTAGTCAAAACCAGATCATCTACATCATCTACTAAGTAGATCATGACTTTGTGTTGAAACCCAGGTTTTTTTCTGGATCCCGCATGAAAAAAGAAACCCGCATCCCTAGATGATTTTTACATATCCCTTCCAGGACGGTGAATCCGGTTGGGGGTTAGCACCCGCTCTCAGGAGACATTGACATACAGCTTAGGTCCTTAAGTACCTATCCCATAGGATCCATGTATGGTATATATGCTAACATGTGAGGTATATTGATGGCAAATGTTACCATATATACCATACGTGGATCCTATCGGTATACATGCATACATTAGATTTCATTTGATATTTAGATGACATTGGATGACAGAAAACACTACAGTACACCACAGTAAACATTCCCTCACATTAACATTATACGTACACTATATTTCATGCGATATTGACATGGTATACATACACAAGTACACTTTTTTTTAGATCAGCAACGAGTATTAATATATGTATTAATCCCTTTCGGCGCACTTAATGTAATTAATGCATTGGTGTTGTTCCATCCTTCTTGTACTTGTGTTCGTATTGTAACCATCTGTATTTTTTTCTCATGGTTTACATATTCTGGACAATGACAACGACCTTACAGAGACCTTATCATAACTGATGTTTCGCAAGGAAAACCACCCAATGGAAAAGAAAAGTTAGATTTGAGAATTTGAAGTCCAACATTTCAGTGATAGAAACATTGTCGTATTTCAGTGAATTTCGCTTGAGACAGCTGATATGAAGGTTTTTCAAAAATGGTGGTACCCCCAAAGTTATCAATTTATAATTGGATTTCCACTATAAACCATCCATCCATTTTGGGGTACCTTCATGACTTAAAACACATCCATATGGGTATGAGTCAAAATGGGATACCCCAACAATTAGATGATATGATATGGTGCAGATGGTTAAATCATGTTAATACTAAATAGACTAAAACTAGACTCAAATCTGTTGTCCCCCAAGTCCCCAAGGTCTTTAAATTCTGATCCATAGCCATATTCAATGGCCATTTCAGGAACCTAAATTGGAGGTACTGTACCATATAAGGCCATATTTTGTGGGTATATTCCCTTACATAGGCCTGAAAAATAGGCCTTATATATGGTAGGTACCTCCAATGAATCGGATCCTGGAATGGCCATTGACATATCAGCTGATATTCTCCATGCGGTCCAATCTGTCCGTCAAAATGTTGTGAATTCAGGCGGCGGCCGATCACTTGGCTGCTGAGCACCAGAGCGTCAAGGTGGGAATTTCCAGTTGGGAAGCCAGTTGGGGCCATATTTACCTATGAAACATGGATTGTAACCGCAAAAAAAAATTGGGGAATAAGCATAGATAGATTCTGAGAAGTGATGTTTGCTTGATGATTATATATGGGATCAAACACTTAGTTATAGAAGATAATACTAGTATGGGGAATTATGAGAGTCCATGAACTTGGGAAATCCTATCAACCAGCCAAAATTGTTCAATGGTAACAATGATGAACAAACCCATGGGATGTTGGGGCACCCTATTTCAGACAAACACAGTTAGATTTCATGGTCCGGGACGCTCCAGCCCATTGGTAGAAACCACCATCGGAGGGGTTTTGATGGTCATTCTCTTCGCAGTTTTCTTCTTCTATTTGGGGTGTTGGTGATGTTTAGTTGAATTTTGTTTGGTGAACTGGCGTTTACCGCCCAGGAACAAAAAGGATCGGACACAGATGCAACGTTTGCGGACAGTGAGTTTCACTGTTTCGGCTGAGCCGATCCGGTCGCCGATCGTTCCATCAAAAACACGGGTCCCCCATGACACAAAGGTATCGGAGGTTTCTTAAAATGGGGGATCCCCATAGGTCCATAGGTATCCATAGGTTTCAATACTAAGTCATGGTCCATGACTGGATGATTTGAGGGTACCATTTTAGGAAACTCCCCAAAAAAAAATTTAGGCCGATCAAATCATCCCCAGCAGTATGGGTTTTTCCAGACGGCTGGGGCGCTGGGAACTTGCAGGCGACAGTTGAAGCTTTCTTTGACACTCAGTATGAGCAGCACCTGAGGCCAGCGGACCGGATCGGCGTCGATGGGGCTTTGGTCCACGGACTTGGAATTTATCAGCCCAACAAAGGGTGGTGGTTTTTGTTGATGTAAAAATGTCTTACTTAAATCTACTTAAAGTACCATATCTGGTTGGTGGTTTGGAACATGAATTTTATGACTTTCCATTCAGTTGGGAATTTCATCATCCCAACTGACGAACTCACTCCATCATTTTTCAGAGGGGTAGGTTTTAACCACCAACCAGATAATCGTTATCCATTAATTATCCATTCATTCTCCATTAAATCTACTTAAAGTACCACATATTATCATATATTATTTACTTAACATATAAAAAACATAGATCATATCATGGGGACTCAACCCCCCAAAGGTAACTCCTAGTTGGTGGATTTTTTCCCGTCAAGCCTTAGCAGCTAGCCGACCACGTGTCGGCTTGCGATGGTTTTGTTTGTCGTATTCAATGGATTGCTTTAAGGGAAAATCGAAACCGGAAACCATCGATTTTCCCATGAAGATCATGGGGGTTTTCCTGTAAAATTTCCCTTAAACCAAGCCATTGAATGATAATGTCTGGCCATCCCAAAATTGATAGAACATGATAGAACATGGAAAACTTGATAGAACATGATAGAACATTGATTTTGTCCGAGCTGCAAAGAAACGAATCATATCATCGACGGACTTTCCTGGTTGCATACTTTTCAGCATCTTGTTGGGGCTATGTAGCGTCATTTTGAGACCACGTTGGTCGTACAATTGTTTTACCATTTACCATAAATTTGCTGGGGTTATTTACCGCAAGTATATAACTTTCATATAACGATCATTTCTGAAAACTATGGAGTGATTTCTCATTTTGCTGGGGCTATTCACCATGATTTACCAATATTTTCCCACACGTTTACCATATTTTGGGATGAAGATCCCCACCCTTGGCAGAGGCACGTGGTGGCCCACTATGGTGGCAGCTTTTCACAGTGCGGAAACCTGAAGTGGGCAATTGACAAAGATCTTTTTTCATCTGCCATGAATATCATGAATATCATGGTATGATGTTATCAAATGTTACCAATCCTATTGAATCTTTTGGACCAGAATGAAACCACTTCCCCGAGAAGCACGGAGTTGGGTCATCGTTGTTTAGCCCGTTGGAATTGTTCGTTGGTTCATATCTGCTGGTACTCTAAGCTAGCTGTTGGGAAAAATCTACATTTTACAGATTGTTTTCCTTAGATGTTTTCCGGCTAAGAATGAGCATGTCCCAAGCAACCAGTTTGATGGGGGGCAAACTGGCCACCTTTGGCTTTGGGTGTCACATCAATCTCCCTGAACCCCATGAAGGGCCATTATCACTCGCCAACACATCACCAGAAAATTGATGGAAAGTTGGTCAGTTCTAGGGGAAGCCTGGGATGAGCTTCACCTTGGTGAGTTGACGGCCCCCTTTTTGTTCGCAGGGCCAAAGCAAGTGCGCCACTGGCTTTCGTGGAGGCCGATGACAAGGCCGTTTGGGCAGAGACGTTGAGGATGTGCGTTCCCTCGAAACTCTCTGCAACGGGTTAGACACCGTCTATGTCAGACCCGAGTTGAGCAGCCAACCCGCATGGTCATCGTCTAGGTATACTATCTATATATATATATGATACTATATATATATATATGATATTATATATATACATAATCTAAGCATGGTGTTGTCATACATTGGAGTGAAGTTGGGCCGTATTTCAAGGTACATATACCGTGAATGGAAGATGATTCTGGTATTCTGAAGCCCAAAAAACAGCAGTTGGGTAAGGAACAACATGGATCATCCATGATGATCTGCCAAGGTTAGTGGCCTTGAAGCCACGAAATAAACTCCCTGGATCTTGGATGATCGGCTGGATGATTCAGCAGATACCCGGCCTGGTAAACGTTTACAAAAAACGATGGAAAGATCCACCATTTTTCATGGGAAAACTCACTATTTCGACTGGGCCATTTTCAATAGCTATTTTGACATAACCAGAGGGTAACTTGAAGTACTGAGTGTCATTTTCCAGTCACCAGCCTGCGCGAAAACGGCAGGTCCTGTACTTTGCCAGCGACAAGTTGTTCCTGGAGTGGTTGCTGTTGCGCTACAAATATGAGGACGTTTCGCAACAGTCAGACCCTGGTGAATCCGAAAAAAGTGGTTGTTTTTTTTTCAGCGTGAGTAAGATATGTTATAGACATTTGGTATAGATTTGGTATACCCTCTGGTAAACTGTTGCATAGCGAACTGGAAAGATCCACCATGCTATTAATGGGGAAATCCACTATTTCTATCACCATGCTATCAATAGCTATGTTAGTCATTACCAGAGGGTATCCATAACCATTCATAGTGGATTTTCCCATTAATAGCATGGTGATGTTCCATAGTTATGTTTGACATAACCAGAGGGTAGACCAGTGAAGCCAGTGGACACTGGCTGGGGGTGTAACTAATAAGAACTCATTTTAAATGGTGATTCCCATTGGAAAACCATAGGAAAAGCCATAGGAAAATGGTGATTTAACAGGGGATGGGACTTTTCAGGTTGTTGAATCATATTGGGTGTGTCTGAAAATGTTGTGTACCCCTACACCCAATGGTTTTGCTGATCAAAAAATCCCGTTTTGAAATGGCTATTTCATTGGGAATATAGCCTATTTTCAGACAAACTAATATTCACAGGGGATGGGATTAGATTTCTACATGTTTAATATTGTTTAATTATAATCATGATGAGGCTACAACAAATATATGCTAATAACATCTAATAACAACAAGAAGACTAGCCATTCTCATCCATCCACCTTTCTAACGGATGGTTTTCTTGCCCGTTCATCAAGCAATAACACCAGCTACCCAAGCGACCAGGACACAACCAGTTTCCTGTTGTACAAGCGGATGGGCGTTAAAGCCCTTCAAGCTGCCAAGGACGTAGAATGGATCCAATACTGTTGCATCAGGGTTTCAATTGGGGGCATTTCCTATACATATATATAATATGTTTATATAATAATATATATATATTATATAATTATATAATTATAATGAATAATGTAGTATATGGTATGATAATGTATAATAGATGGTAAGTAGATGATATAATATAATATAAATGTATATAGTATGTACAATATATGATATAATATGATATAACATATACATAATATAATGTATATATGATATTATATATATATAATATTATATAATATAATATATATATAATATACATAAGGAGACGGGATTGTGTACAATCCAGCACAACACCACCTTTACGAAGATCCCATGGTTCTTAATCATGTGCAGGTTGAGAGTTAGATGAAGGGTTTTTAAAGTTGCGACAATTGGTACCAAAAATCATATCCAGTTAGTTCGATGCTATAAACCGGAAGCATGTATGTATATATATAATATAATATGTATATATATAATATATATAATATTATATATGAATATATATATATAACATATATATATAATATAATATATAATATATAATATATAATATATATAATATATATAATATATATAATATATATAATATATATAATATATATAATATATATAATATATATAATATATAATATATAATATGTTTGAAAAACGATCTGGAGGAGCATCTGCAGCTCTCCCAAATGGTCGAAAGAGTCTCATGTTCTCGTCAAAACGGGAATGCCAATTCTGTGGGCAAATGGACAATTTGTAAGTCCAAATAATCCAAATACCATCTGGTTATTTAACATAGCCATGGAAAATCACCATTTTTAAGTTCGGTGAACCATCTATTTCTATGGGCCATCAAAAAACCATGGCGAACTGTTAGTCATAACCAGATGGTATGTGTAAAATTTGGGGCCAAATGATGCCTGTGTGGGTGAAATCCCCGGTTTCAGGTGAAGTCTTTTGCAGGAGCAGAGTGGTCGCTCCTGTTGCGCTTTGACCATCCAAGTTGGAGCCGAGGCCAAGGAGCCCGCAGGGAGGGGAGCCTGGGGATAAAAAGGGGATTCTCCCAAGCCCAGCAGAATGGGCTTGTCTGAGAATTGGCTATTCCCACACATTGGATGGTTAATCATTACTGGTTGGTGGTGCAATAACCATCTTGAAACATGATGGAGTTCGTCAATGGGAAGGATGACATCCCAGATATGAAATGGAACATAAAATTCATGTTTGAAACCACCAACCAGTTGATGTCAATATAGTTGAATCATATCCACTCAAAAGAACTGCCACATGTTATGGTATCTGCAGTATCCCCATTTTAAGACACCCATTTTCTTGGATCAATCAACATTATTCAATATGGGTTTGTCTGAAAATGGGGTATATTCCCAATTATAGCCATTTAGTAGGGATAATGATCATTAACCATTGGGTTTAGGGGTACACTATTTTCAGACACACCCAATATGATTCAACAACCTGAAAAGTCCCGCCATGGGTTTCCACACGAAACACAGAAAGGAGACTGTCCAACTTCAACTCTTCGACGAGGCACTGGAGATTGAAGGGTTCGGGGCCATGGCCCATTTACTTCGATGATTAACTATGACTTGACCTATCCCTCTGAAAAATATGAATTATTAGTCAGTTAATAATGGTTCATAATGATTAATGATGGTATATATATATATATGGTTGGTGGTTGACCTACCCCTCTGAAAAATGATGGAGTGAGTTCGTCAGTTGGGATGATGACATTCCCAACTGAATGGAAAAATAAAACATGTTTCAAACCACCAACCAGATATGGGTCTGTCTGAAAATGGGGTACTGTACACCCCCAAAATATCAAATAATCCACTGATTTTTTTGGATACCCATATAAACATAAACATAAAGAATTGTTACATTCCTGTTTGCAAACTGAAAATGCCGTTTGTTGCAATATGTGACGCAAGTGATGTATATTCATGTATATAGATATATTATATGATTATGTATATATAGATTTACAATTATATACACCGGGTCCTTTACCGTGGAAGTCAGGATGGAAAAACCTGTCGGTTTACATGGAAGTCGTTTACGTCCAATTCCCGGGGAAAAAGTGAAACTGGGCTACCGGGCCAGCAAATGCAGAAAAACTGACCGTGAATCTCTTACATGGAAGTAGCTCATCAGATATGCCAGTAACATATTCATCATGGAAGTGAGACTAAAAACCCTTACGTGGAAGTAACTTGAGGGTCCAGACATCAGGTTGGCAACTTCTATGTTAACATGTTCTCCCCTCATGTTGAATACATCCTTCTAGGGCGATCCCTAAAACCCCCAGACTGACCGCCACATCATTTTTTTTCTTCTTTGCATCTATCTTCTCACCCCTGTCATGTCCGAGCGATTGAGGACTAACATGGAAACAAATTTGCAGTTTACCCGCCCCCCCCATTGCAACTAACATGGAAGTAAACCTCCGAATTGTCACTTTAGTTAACGTGGAAGATTTTTTTTTTGCACTACAGTAAAAGGAGGACCGAGCGCTCGCTAACATGGCACTGCCCACATCCTACTTCAAGTAGCAAATTTCTATGCAAGTTATCCGTTCCAATCGTTGGTTGTTAAAAAATGGAGGCATTCCCAGCTTTATCTTGAAAAAATCAAAATTTCTACGTTGATCAACAAATGCCCAGGATTCCCGGGGAACTCGTGGCAAAAAGAACTAGCCAAAAAAAAAAAGGGCTCAGATCCAAAGAACACAAATTTGCAGTTTACCCCCCCCATTGCAACTAACATGGAAGTAAACCTCCGAATTGTTACTTTAGTTAACGTGGAAGATATGTTTTTTTGCACTACGGTAAAAGGAGGACCGAGCGCTCGCTAACATGGCACTGCCCACATCCTACTTCAAGTAGCAAATTTCTATGTAAGTTATCCATTCCGATCGTTGGTTGTTAAAAAATGGAGGCATTCCCAGCTTTATCTTGAAAAAATCAAAATTTATCAAAATTTCTACGTTAATCAACAAATGCCCAGGATTCCCGGGGAACTCGTGGCAAAAAGAACTAGCCCCCCCCAAAAAAAGGGCTCAGATCCAAAGAACACAAATTTGCAGTTTACCCCCCCCCCCATTGCAACTAACATGGAAGTAAACCTCCGAATTGTCACTTTGGTTAACGTGGAATTAAAAAAAAAATATTTATCTTTTTTGCGCTACGGTAAAAGGAGGGGGAGTATATATATTTACAATTATATATATTATATATTTACAATTATATATAGTTACAATTATATATAATGACAAGTTAGGATTAATCAACCTATTAATCCGATGTTGGCATTAATCATATATAATAATATATATATATATACACATTCTGGTCTCAGAAACACTTTTTTTTGCAGGACACTTTCAGTTCATAGGAGGAGCAACGCGTGCAGCTTCAAACCTGAGAAGGAGTACGTTTGTGCTTTGCCGCCAGGTGGCTCCAGAGCTGGCTCGTAACTTCTTGAAGTGACTCGGCACTGTGATGGTATGTTGTGGTAGACCCAATCATCAACTACCCTCCGGTAAACTGTTACATAATCTTACATAACTATGGAACATATTTTTTTAATGGGTAAATCAACTAATTATTTCTATGGCCATTTGCAATAGCAAACTCTCAGTTTACCAGAGGATATCCTAACTATACCAACTATCCTTTGATGGGGGTTCTACATGCCACAATGGTGATGACTTGGGGATGGTTTATCAATGAGTTTAACTCCTTACTGGAATGGTCTTGTTGAGAAAATCTGGAAAGCCATAGGTCTTCCGAAATGTTTGGGGAAAAGCCATGGTATGTTGTCAATTATCCAATTCAGGGACCTGATGCTATGTTTTTTTGGACAATGGAAAATCATATATCGACGTCATATAGATAATGATATTACGGAAGCCATATTGGAAGCCATATAATCAACATTGTCTTTTTGTTATTGTTTTATAGTATTTTCTGGATGATGTTTTAGGGTAAAGGTTGGTCAAGGTAGCCACGTAGCACCATGGAAGATGATTTTGATGACTTTGGTGGCTTCTGTGTTCAATGTGTTCTCAGCTACCAGGTGATGGTCTCTGGTTTGAATGACAATTGAGCCATTTCCAAAGAACCAAAGGTGGATTGGTCAATATAGTTGATATTCACTAATAGTATTATATCAACTATAGTTGACCAATCAATGTCAGGTCTACTAATAATATTATATTGACCAATCAACTTGATATAGGGGCTTTTTGGGGGGTTATATAGTTGATATTCACTAATAACCCCAACTGCACCCCCAAGTATTTTCAGACAAACCCATATGAAGGTTTCCCTGGTCATGGAGGTACCCCCCCCCAGTTCACATCCATGTCATGGATGACCATGACTTAGACCATACTTAGACCAATGAGACTTGAGGATCCCTGATGACTTGAGAAACGCCCATATGTCATCTGGTTGGTGGTTTGGAACATGTTTTATTTTTCCATTTCATATATGGGATGTCATCCTTCCCATTGACGAACTCCATCATTTTTCAGAGGGGTAAGTCAACCACCAACCAGATATATATATATATACCATCATTAACCATTATTAACCATTATTTTTTCTGACTAATAATGTTCATATTTTTCAGAGGGATAGGTCAACCAAGTCATAGTCATATCCCTCACCGTGTCACCATGGTCTTTTTAATCAACCGCCAAGGTTGTTGAGCCATCCGAAGTTTGATGGAAGTCCTGTGCACCGAGTCAAGGCGGACACGAACATGGTGATTTTTTTTGGATAGCCCATGACTTAGGAAACCCCGATATCAATGGATTGGTTTAAGGGAAAATCTACAGGAAACCATGGTTTTAAATATGTTTAAAAGCATCAATCAATGGGAATATCTTAAGTATTTTTAAGTATTTTTAAAAGCATCAATGGGAATTTCAGGATCCTAAAATGGAGGTACCTACCATATATAAGGCCTATTTTTCAGGCCTTAATTTCAGGGGATATCCCCCTAAAATATGGCCAAACATATGGTACTAACGTACCTCCATTTTAGGATCCTGGAGATCTCCCATTGATTAAAATGCCATGCTTTTCCATTGCCCGGTTTGATTCAACTGATTACGGCCGAGGATATGAGTAACATTGAGTAACGGAACTCATTTGGCCAGGCTGTGGAAGCTGATTCTTCTGACTCTCATGAGAACATGTTTTTTCTTGTGAAATTTAAAGGGTTCAGGTTCGATAGGAAAATCATCTATAAATGGGATTACTAAAATTGAAACATTTGCAGTTTATGACTTTTCTTCATGTTTGTGTTTGATTCTAACCTTTGATTGGGGTCATTCGACAAAGTCATCATCTAGGGATTTGACCATTTGTGAGCTCATAATGAACGTCAGCCAACGTCATCCCCTCATGAAAAAGGGGTGCACCCAAATATTGAAATGTCATCTGGTTGGTGGTTTCAAACACGAATTTTATGTTCCATTTCAGAATATAAGGGATGTCATCCTTCCCATTGACGAACTCCATCATTTTTCAAGATGGTTATTGCACCACCAACCAGTATAATTTATGCCCCGATTGAGGATGGTGTATTGTTGGCTTTAGTAGCTTTAGCTCATGAAAAAAAAACACAATTTTGGCCTATTGTTTCCTCAGTGTCATGGGAGATGGGATCTAGTTGTCTTTACGCATGGCCATGATGCGAGAAGAACGCATTCTTTGTTGTCAGGCTGGTTCTTGGATTCAAGCAGGAGATTTAGTGGATGGCGCGGAACCTCATGGTGACCAACTGGGAGCACTTCAATTGGGGCTATGATTGGAATTCCCGAAATAAGATAAATAAGGGTGTCTTTTTTGCAGGTACTTTGATCTTTTGGCAGAACCCCAGACATGACTAATCCCTGTCTCCTATTGATAAGAACACGTGGTGGATCTACATATTATACATGTTGGGGTGCCGTTTGAGGGTTTCAATCAGAGTTTCTTGGGAGCGGGAGTAATTCTTCAACATGAGAACAGTTGCGTTGAAAAAAAGGTGGTTTCCTTCAATAAATTGCTTTGTAAACCCAACCATACTTATCTATCCCATAGGATCCGTGGTGCTGGTATATATGCTAACATGACTGGGGTATATTGATGGGATCCATGTTACCAAATATACCAGCACCATGGATCCTATGGGTAACATTTTTTATGTTCCATAATATATGGGATGTCATCCTTCCCATTGACGAAATCATATTTTTCAAGATGGTAGGTCAACCACCAACCATACTTATCTATACTTGCGACTTTTCAAGATGGTTAAATTCCAACGTGGCAAAGGAAGTGGAGCACCGAAGGTAGATCTCTGGGGGCTCCGTCGGCTCCGTCCCGAAGGTTCTGGGAGGAACTCTGACGGAGCTGACGGAAGCTTTCTGAGGCGACCAAGAGCACGCGTTGCGGCGTTGCGGAAAACTCTCGCTGGGTATAGCCAACATGGATATAGAAATCATACAGCTGGATATATATATATATACACATCTATAATTGTATATATATATATGATATAATTGTGTATATATATAGGTATTATAGGTTATACCCAAAACCCTATACCCCTACAGCTGAGGGATAGGATATACATGGATATACCCAATTCAGAACGTCTGACATTCCCAGTATAGATTGGGTATACCATGGTATACCCATTTTCGGAAAATTCACTGCAGCTTTGGGTGTAGAGTGGTTGATCCAGCATGATCTAACGAAGCTTAGGGATGCTGGGGGATTGTTCATTGCGCCCAAGATACATCCCCAGATAGTGCAATGTTTTTCCCACCGTTTCAACGTTTTTCAATTTAGGTTGCTTTATACAACTATATGGAGGTTTCCTAAAATACAGGTACCCCTAAATCATCCATTTTAATAGGATGTTCCACTATAAACCATCCATTTTAATAGGAATTTCCACTATAAATCATCCATTTTGGGTACTGCCATTTATGGAAACCACCATTTCAGGATCAAATGAATAATCATAGCACCAACCATGTGCATAGCTTGAGGGCATACATACCATGGGTGTCTATGGTCCCAGTATGGATGCATGTTTGGGAACGTCTCAAATATCTGGTTGATGGTGACTGGAACATGGCTGGATTATGACTTTCCATGACTTTCCATGAAAAGTTGGGAATGGAAAATCATCCGACGCGAAAACTCCATCATTCTTCAGGACGGGGTTGGTCAACTTGGTCAACCACCAACCAGATAATGATCATCCATTGGAATAGCATCTGGTAAACTGTCACATAACTAATGGGGAAATCATCATGCTATTAATGGGAAAATCAGTTTGAGGTTGAACATGGGTCCAGTTGTTTGGGTACCTTAGGTACCTTGGAGGGTCACGGATCAAATAACCTTTTTGTTAACCCATTAGATGGGATAAGCCACGAATCGAGGGCGTGCGTTCACCAGGGTTCCGAACCAGATACGAAGTGGAATTTATCCTCCAAGTAATGAAAAATGGCTTGCTGGACAATCCACTAGTTAGAGTATAGATTATGGTCCCAAATATAAACCTCTATTTACAAGGAGTACAGGAAGGGACCGACAGTTAGAATATAAAAAAAATATTTGAACGCAGATAGAATAAGTTAACTGCACTTCTTCACAACCAGAATTCACAAAAAGACAAGCAAGTTCGTACCGTACCACTCCAACCTCAGGGGAACCTTTGGCCAACATAATCTACTATACTTGTTGGCGACAAGTTAATAGACTTCAGGATTTATTTCAGCAGCCAGAACAGAAACCATAGAAGAAGAAACATTGTGAACACGACATTGCATTGCGCAATTTGGTTGCTGGTATTCTGCGTGGTGCTGCACATTCTTCACTACAAGAACTCAGGAAGAGAACAAACAGTAACCAACAACTTTAAGGGAGAAAAATTGACGACAACACTTGTGTACGAAAAACATTGTTCTGTTTCCATAGCAAAGCCACCAGATACGCATCTGTTTCAACAGCTAATTATTTCAATTCCTTTGAAACCACACAGAACATATAGTCATATAGTAATACATACTATGTACTGTCGCATTCTATCTGCAAATTCCTTCCGCGGCCAACTTGTTGCCGGCAAGAATTCACTTCGATAAATCCCCAACTTTCATATTCTAACTGCTGGTCCCAACAAGTAATTACCCTATTTTCAGACACCAAGACATTTAGCTTGAGCCAGAATCGGGGCTGCTCTCCTGTCACCGACTGCTAGAAAGTATGGCTAACCGTGGCAAGGTAGATTCAGGATGACTACGGTAGTTGGTGCGATGCAGATCAACAAAGTATACATACATATCTATACGCATGATGTGTATGTATCTAGAAAAATATATATAGACTTATTTAGATGGATTTAGACGTATTTAGATGTATTTACATGTATACACTCATAACATATGTGATGATATGTATTGATATGTATTGATATGTGTGCATATGTATTTATATGTATTTCTGTGTATGTATATTTATTTATATGATTTTATATGTGTGTATACATATTTATATGCATTTTTATGTATTTACATGTATTGTATGTATTATATGTATTATACGTATTACATGTATTTTATGTATTTTATGTACTCGTATGTGTATTAACATGTATGCGTATCTATACACGGCGTAGACACAGTAGTATAACATGTATATATATATATATACATATCTGTGTATTTATGCTTTATACATGTGTGTTACATCTAGATATTGCATGGTATTGTATAAATATAGATGTATATCACATCTCGATATTATTCAGGTAAACCATATGTCTTATAACAATGTGTGTGATAGATAAATAGGTACAGTGATACATTTTATTTAAGCATATATGATGTATTATTCACATACATCTGAAATATATACATATGATACAATATAGAACAACTAATATACAACACAACTGTATTTATATTTACTTTTACATTTACATTGTTTTACATATATATATATGATATAATTTGCATGTGTATCACATATAGATATATCCATCGTACATCAGCAGGTAACTGCACCCTCTGGTGATTTAACATAGCTGTAGAAAACCACCTTTGTTTTGCTAGGTAATTCATCTATAAATCATCTATAAATCATCTATAAATCATCTATGAATGGGTCATTTTCCATTGCAAACTCTTAAACCACGCTGTTGGCACAGGCATGAATCCTTCAGCGTGCCGCATGATCGCCCTGGGCTGCTGGGAATGTGCTGCCATGCTAAGGACCAGATGTCAAGTTCCAAAAAAGGCTAAGAAAGGCTATAATATCTTTTCTGGCCCAGAAAATTTGAAGAAACATGATGATAAAGCGCCTTAATTTCAGGGATTTGGAGGGATTTGGGGACTTTTAGAAGCTTTCCCACCGAAATCACTCCCAAATTGGATCGCTCAGCAGGACACCATTGGGTCCCAGTTCTATATCACCCTGAGGGAGTTGCCATATCTCGACGGAAAGCACCTCGGCGACGACGGCGGATGTTGATTTTTGGAGATCAGGAATGATCATCAGTACATCATTATATATAGATATATAAGTATAACTAACACATGATGTAGAAGCTGTAACTGGAGATTTCACCCCATCCAAGTCTCAGTTTCATTTGAAAGAATCCTCCCATGGTGTAGCCAGGTTCTGCGTCATCGGCAGAGTCATCAGTGGGATGTCGATGGCCTCAGTGGTCCTCAAAAAATCTCCGGCCCAACCATAGGTGAACCCTTCCGAGGCGGACCATCATTCGCATTGGCAAGATGGCAACCAAGAATGAGCGACCAGAGCAGGCGGACTCGGCCCTGCCCAGCGGTCCGTTTGAGAAAATGAAGGGTTTTAGGGTTTTCCTGAAATTTGAGAAAACAATTGATAGGGAAGACACATGGATGTGTATATATATATATATATGTCATATGGCAACCCCCAAAAAGATAGAACAATGATTAATCAACATGTTAGTAGGATTTTACTTTTAACCTATCTTCTTGGAGGTTAGGTCATACAATGATTTTTTAGGGGCCACCATTTGGTTTTTCTCCCAAAAGGATTTTTCGGAGGTTTCCCATGGCCATCATGGCCACCACGGCCATCATGGCCATTCCGTGTAAGCTGAGAAGGTGGTGGTGGCATCCTCAATGAGTCGGTGTTTGATACATGATTTTTAAATATGTTTAAAAGCATCAATCAATGGGAATATCTTAAGTATTTTTAGGTATTTTTAAGCATCAATGGGAATTTCAGGATCCTAAAATGAAGGTACTGTACCATATATAAGGATCCATATTTTGTGGGGATATCCCCTGAAATTAAGGCCTGAAAAATAGGCCTTATATATGGTAGGTACCTCCAATAAATCGGTTCCTGAAATGGCCATTGCATCAAGGACATGTCCTATCCAAAAAAGGAGACCATAAGATCGAGGCCGCCATCCGGTGGGTAACTTGTTTCAGCATCCCTCCCGCATCGCCATGCCCGAATCTTACACCATATTATAGCTTGAATAATTCCCATTGAGGTAGCAAACCCCTACTGTATAATCTAATGCATCTCTACTAGTGATATGCCGTGTATGCAGATTGCATACACATTTGGATCCATGTTCATCAAGAGACTCGATGGTTGTTGGTGTAGTGGTTCCTGTGGTAAACACAACACTGAACTACCAATTGGGGATAGTTGAGTCGTCCCTCCCCTTTCTATCCATCTCTTGTACGTCATGGCAAAAATGATGATTGAGGATCTTGGTGCCCCACCAGCCCTGATTAGTCCTTTGCTTCATCCAAAAAGGGGGTCTTGGGCTGGAGCCCAGATCCTTGCCGGGCGCAGGAAGTAAAAATCTTCGCTGATCCTTCTTTGACTTTGACAGCTCCTGCAGGTGTGATCCAACAAGTGCAACTGGCTTTGTGGAAAATTCAAAAAGTCGGGGAATCGGGAATCTAAACGGAATATGCTAGGAAAACAGATACAGTAGTTCATTTTCTTGGAGGGCTCTAAATGTCCAAAACATTGTGAAAGAGGTGTTTTAATTCACTTCACCACTAGTTCTGTTAATCTCGGTGTGCAACCGGTGGTTTTACCGATGAAAACCGATCAACGAAAATAGAGGGGATCCACCGGCTGCTATCTCAAGCCCCAAGGAATATCAAAGGAATCAGCTTCCACTGGGGTTCACTACCCTCTGGTAAACTGTCACATAACTATCGAAAGATCCACCATGTTTAATGGAAACATCCACTATTTCGACTGGGCCATGGCTTCCATAGTTTTCTGTAAACGTTTACCAGGCCGGGTAATTTTCAGTTTCACCTGTGGATGAAACGAATAGTGAGCAAAAATGATCACGGGTATTCCATGCTTTGATCAGGAGAGAGATGAGTGATGAGTGCAGAGGTGGCTGCGGTGTGAACGGCTGAGCCATAGCATAATATACGGTGCTGAGACAATTGTCAGCTAATTTTTAATTATGAGAATTATCAGGTATATACATTATGCATTACATATAATATCATTGTATATGTATACTATTAATGTGTATATCTATATGTACATATTATATGTATATGTATATAAGTATATTTGTATATGTGTATATAAGTATATAAGTATAGAAGTATAGAAGTATATATAAGTATATAAATATATAAGTATATAAGTATATAAGTATATAATAAATACATATATGTATATATATATATACATATATATATATATACATAATATATATATATAAATATTGGCTTCGATGCACTTTAATGGCGACACTCTGTCGAGGACTTGAAAATAATTTGTTTGTATCAGAAGTCGTTGGGGCTATCGTCTGGCAATGTAAAATGACGATCGAGGAGACGCGGCTATCCAAACATCCAAACACTTTTCCTGCATCATTTGGCTAAACCTAGCAGGAATGTCAAACACCTCAAGTTTGGGCTAAATCTAAGCAGCCAACGCCGGAGGTCTCACCATGTGCAAACGGGAATGGATGCCAAAGCCTCAGGACCTGAAGTCATGCCGTCAATGGAATTTGGAGTGGATAGCCTGTTTTTCAATGGTCGCCAAGGAAACCCCTGAAAGAAAAGTATAGAAAGGAAAATCCTGCTGAAATAGTGATGAATTGAATCTGTTCTATTTTTGTGGGGGGGGCTTACTATGTGCTGAAATCACTCGTTTTGGGACCCCTAACTAATCAGCCGAGGTCTATAAATCCAGTTTTCGGCATTGCAGTACATGATTTGGCAAATTGGGTATGAGTCAAGGTTTACAAAGCGGGGATCATTGTACCGTGTTCAGCCCTTCCATGATCTTTCGTAGACTTGCGTCCCTAGTGTTGCCCCTCAGAACCAGCTGATATGTCGAAGCTAAGATTCCGACCAAGGTAGGGACGACGACATCAACATGATGATTCCAGTCTTTCTCAACATTGTTCCGTTGTATCCCATTTCACGCTATACTCTACTTATGTGAGAATATGTTTCAAATATTCAGATCATCCATTCAGTGGTTTTTCTGTCTCACCTCAAACACACTGAATAAAATTCAGCGCAAAAAAGTCATGTGAATTTAAATCTGAACGTTGCAGAGTAGACCGAATGGTAGGATGAGCCTGGCACTTGGGCTGGCTGTGTTCCAAGTTTCTGCCATTCAGGATTGTTTTTTTGTATATATATATAATATATATATATATTACATAATATGTGTTTTTTCCCCAATTTAAATTGATATGTTGCATGTTGGGTTGAAAATACATGAAATAATTCTACTTTCTCCATACTTGGGCATTGCGGTAACTACTAAGATATAGTTGAAGAAAATACGAACATCAAGGAAAGACTAACCAAGAAAACAAAGGAAAAAACATAAGAACATAGAAAAGCGAAACACAAAAAATAAAACAAAAAACGTATTACCAAAAATGATGTTCTTCGAATGATCCCTACAGTACTACTGTAAATGACATGTTATCTGACATACATTCTGGAATTCTATTTGATATCCTTTCTGAGATGTACCGAAAACAACTGTTTTGAGGTAATCTATCTAGGTGGGGAACGACATCATCCGGAACAACATTTGAAATCAACAGGTTCATGCAGAAACCTCTACACGAGAGGTCCTATGGCTGAAGACATGTCGCAAACCATGGAAAGTGACATGGTGAACTAAAGCGATAAGGTGATTTGATGGTGAAGTTGAAAGGTGTTGTTTTTTTCGCAGCCATTGGGATTGTATAGTAACCTTGTACGTATTGTTTTAGTATTCGTCGGATGTGAATCCGGAGGCTCCCAAAATGCCCAGAGGTGCTCCCAAAAGGCCTAGACTACGCACTTCTGATGACAGAACTTGCTGCCAAAACCTATTACGACACAGACTCTAGAAAGCAGAGGCTGTGCTTGAGCAACAATCTTTCAATACCTTTCACATGTATCCTGATTTTACCAGATTATCGATAACCAAATCGATATCCAAATCGATAACGTACCCATAACCAAAAATTGCAGAAAGTGGCCCCGGGCAGCCAGAGATCCAATCCATATCAATCTATCCCCGTAGTGGCGTACTTCAATTTTGCGTTAAATCTTGAAGCATCCACTTGGCGTGGTCTAGCTTGGCCTTGAGACCTACCATTAAATATAGTTTTGATCTAATGATCTCAAGAAAAGAACTTAATCTGCAGAAGTAGAAGGCGCGTCAATGCAAACATGAAGCTGGTTCTGGGGAAATTCCTTCTGCCCTTTGAATAAAAACATTGGATAATAAATTACTGACTATGAAATACCTCTTTTGATTCTTCATGTAGAGATAAACTGACATGTATCTTTAGATTAATAAGAATTTGTTGGTATTTATTATAACATTATATGAGATGCGGTTAAAATAAGCGTAGACTACTTTAGTAAGTGGGGGTCTAGTTGCGTCGAGAAAGTGCACCAAACCATGTAAAGCGATAGACCCCAAAAAAAACGATAACTTGTAACCATATAAAATTGCATTAAACTTGGTGTAAGCCAAGCAAATATTGTTGTGTGTGCCTTTACGCGATGGGCAAAAACTGATGCAGAAAATTCAACCTGCAGTGCCTACGTTTCTTGCAGTTGCCATATCATTTGTTGTCCGAGGTAATTGAGCCGTTGCTTTCTGCAGGCAGTTGTTTTTTCCTCCCAGGTCCCAAAGCAATACTCGAAGAACTACAGCGGAACCGTTAGATAAGAACCGATTAAGAATTTTCCAGCCTACCCTGGGGCTCTTAAGTGCTATAGGTGGAAAATATGGGAATTATGAACGAGGATACCCTTAAGTTCTTAACGGGTTACTTCTTAAGGAGTTCATATGGTGAGGTTTTGCCAAAGGTCCCGATTTTTTTTTCAGGCGCAGGCATTAGGCTAGATATTCCGCCATGCCATGGCTTGAAAGTTCATTTTGGCATGGTATTAGGTTGCAACGGAGATGGGGGAAAAAAGGAATTTAAGTCCGGATTTGTTTTTTGATTTGGACGCCCGAAATAAGGCAGCACAGGCAAAACAAGCCAAATCAAATCAACACAAGCCAATATAAGCCAAGGGCAACCTCTGACCTCGCGCGGACGGTTGCGGACGGCTGCGAACGATTCCGAACAATTCCGCACGATTGCGAATATAATCGCAACATCGAATGAATACATCTTCAACCCTAAAATTCCCAGAATGAAACGGAAATTATCCAGAATATTTATAAATATTTGATATATATATATATATTAAACCCCGTTGGTAGCTCCCAGCTGAGATCTAGGAGCTCCAGCCCCTGGGGTGCATGGCTATTTTTTTTTAGCCTTAGTAAAAATGACGATAGGTCCCTTGATTTTATCTGCAGACATGCTAGATTTTATCTCGATCATAAGTGTGAGATAAATTCTAAGAGGCTGGACCCCCCTAGGTCCCCTCAAGGGTACTCGCTTCCAAAGAGGACCCAAGGGGGGGGGTCCAGCCCCTTGAATTTTATCTCACTCCAATTTCAGGTCAGGCACCTTGATTTTATCTTTGGAAGGTTGGGCTCATTGAATTTTATTTTCATCCTACCTGAGATTTGGTACCTATCTTATATTTTCAAAGGTTCAGCCCCTTGATTTTAGCTCCGACCTACTTGGATTGCAGTTCCAACTGTTATTTGGTGAATCCGGCGCTGAAAAAAAACGATGGCTAAAATCCAGGAGGTCCATGGTTTCATAAGATTCACAGATAAAACATGTATGTCCTAAATATTCACAACATGCCCAAAATATTTTGAGGGGCCTGAACTTTGATCATTTTTGAACGTCCAAAATGCTCCAAAAGTATTGGTTCCCTTGTCCAAGTTGAGTGTTAGCAAAAATCTTTGGTTTACGAATGCTAGACTTGGGCCCCTAGATTTTATCGATTCAGAAATGCTCAAAAGGGGTATGGGGGGTCAGGCCCCTCTGGAAAACAGCCACTGGGATCTACTATTTCAGGGGCTGGACCCCCCCTAGGAACAACCAACCCCGTTTATATTATATATTGGTAAAAAAACATATTAATAAAATAAATATAATTATTTATTATATAAATAATTAATTAGTATTAAATAAAATAAATTAAATATATATTTATATATATATAAATTAAAATAAATAATATATTATTTAAATAAATTATAATTATGATTTATTTTTGGAAAAAAAAATATAAAAATTAATTAATAATTATTAATAATAAAATATATTATAATTAATTTATATATTTATAATAAATAATAATAATATAATTTTAAAAAATAATTAATATAATTTATATAAATATAATATTTTAATTATTAAATATATATATCTATATTTTTATAAAAAAATATTTATTTATTTTGTTTAATAATTATATAAATATAAATTAATAAATAAATAAAATAAGAAATTATGGAAAATTATTCTTAGGAATAAATTGTTAAATTTTAGGAATTCCTATCTTATATATTTTATTATATTCTAAGAATAATTTAATTAAATCTAAGGTTAATTTTGCCCAAGGTATATTAAAATTAATCCTGAGATTGCTGGGGATTTTTACCTTTAGTGAAATATTTATGTATTTCCTTTTTTGCTTTTTTTAATGTCCCCTTTATTACTAAGATTTCTTCGTATCCTTAAATTTTGATATAATTCTAGGAATAAATTATATAAAAATTATTATTCCTGGATTAATATAAAGATGTTCGTGGTAAAAGATTACTAATGTCCTTGTATTATTGAAATATTAATATAATTATGAAATTTAAAATAGTGTTTATAATTTTTTTCTTCGGCGAGGACATGATTAATAATTAAAAAAAATCAATTTGATAATTTGAAAATAATCTGTAAAAATCCTTAACCCTTTATAATTAGGACCTGT